ACACACACACACATATACACACACACATATATGAAAAACATATGTGTATAACCTGACTTAAGATTGATACTATTTCATAGAAATCTTTAATGACCTTTTAAATGTGTTCATGTTATATATTTTACATAGTCCTGCATAACTATCATTTTGAGAGCTCTTTATTCTTCATCCAGGAGCATAAGCAACTTCTCTTGCCTTCTGAATTATGCTCTTTGTTATTTCCTATATGCTATATCTGGAAGTATTAGAATAATTCAAGTTTGTATAATTGGAAAATATTTTACTTTTGGTTTTCAAAGCTATGTTTTTGCTAAGTATAAAATTCAAAGTGGACAGATCTGTTTTTTTTTCCTTTTAGTCCTTTAATTACTCTAGTTTCTTACACACTTAGTCTTTTTTTTTTTTTCTAATGTGGAATAAGATGCTATTTAATTTTGTTCTTCTATAGCTAATATCTTAATGTAGGTGCTTTAATGGTTTTTTCTTTACAATAAGTTTTGGACAATTTCATTTTTGTGTATCTGGGTATGATTTTATTCAAATTTCTTGTGCAAAAGGTTCATTTTTCTTGGAACTGTGGTGTTATAAGTTCAACTAAATTCAGAAATTTTAAATCTTTAAGTATTTATTGCCTATGCCTTTCTACTTTGAGAATTCTAATTATATGAATATAAGTTTCTTGATTTTGACAAATAGTGAACTATTACATGGCTGATCTGTAAATTCTTCATTTTTATTCTGCACAATTTTTGTTATATTCATTTAAGTTTGTAAATAATTTATTTACAATGTGCAATCTATTATTAATCTCATGTGATGTATTCATTTCAGAAATACTACTCTGAAAATAACTGTCTATATCTTTTATCTTTCACATTTTAGTATGTCTACAATTTTTAATATATGTAATTATTGATTTTCAATAGTTAAAAAAAAAAACAAAGTTGACTGCTTTTAAAATCAGTTTGACAAACAACAAAGTTGTTTCCATTTTAGAAATGTTACACTGCTCCTCTAAATTCTTGACTACTATATTCCAAGGAGTCACAAGTCATTGTATTAAAAAATATGCTTAAGTTTATATTTAAGGATATAATTGTGACTACATGCTTGACATGGCCCAATTCTGCACATTACGTATGAATTTCTCTAAAGCAGATAAAAAAATCTTCTAAAAACTGATAAACTATTATTACAATAAAAATTTAAAGATTAAGTTATTAATACTCCAGTTGAAGTGTGCATATAACTCAGAAGATGAATAACGTGGATTAGAAATCTCTATTATCCTTGTAAAGAACAATAAAACTGTCTACTATGTATATTATCTCATAAAGGAATTGCAAACTAATTTTATCATAACATACAGCTAGTATAAGCCTTTCTTACCTTTTCCATATAACTGATATGATTTAGTGAAAATATTGATGACACTATGGGGACTTCCCTTTGCCAATTCTTCCCATGGTCCTTTGCTTTGTGTACCACCTATGTGCCCCAAAAGTGGCAAGAATTTCTCAGCTTCCTTCTGAAACTCTTTGATTGGTTCACAAGTATTTCTTTCTCCAGTGCAAAATTCTTTATCATTTAAGATTTCTGCTACTTTCAAAAGGGGACGTGCTTCTGGGCCTCCCTCTTCTTCAGAAAGACTTCCCTCACTAAGAAGAGGCCCTTCACTGACTGACTCTGTGCTGGAACAGAGAGACACTTTGGCTTTTTCTTGAGAACAGGCTTGCATATCAGAGTTAGAAGAGTCAGTCTGCCTCTTACATAACTGTGCCAGCAGTCCACCTGGTTTGGGACCAGGTGATCTCATTCTAAAGCTTGATATTGCACTCTGAGGTCTTATCATCTCAGGAAGCCTTTTAAACTCACTGAGGTTGCCTACACCAGGAAGATCATCATCAAAAGTTGCATGAGACACACAGGTTCCCAGCATCTTTTGAATTCGAGCAGAGAAAACATCTTCAGTTTCCTCTTTCACAGGTGGACTTATAGCCTTGGCTTGAAGTCCATCTTGAGGTGCTTGCTGCATATCATATTCAGTGTTCCACACTGACCCACAGTTGATATTGGCTCCTGCTAACTTCTTGGCTTCACATTCAATCCTGCTGGACAAAGAAGCAGCTGTTGCTTTCAAGGCTTCAATACGATCCAATTTACTCTTATACTGGCTGGCATTAGGTTTTAACAAGGCATCTGGATGAGCAGCTGGTGAGGTCAGATATGGTTGAGATGTAAAAACTAATGGTCCTGAAGCCTTATTATTATTCTTTCTGTGTGGTATGATAGATTCAAAATCCTTATGCAGAATTCCTACGTGTTCTAGATTCAAGAGTTGGGAAAGCAAATTTCCAGCTGCTCCAACAAGAGGCTGTGGTTGAGAATTATGTGCTCGTGGGCTCAGTCTGTCAGGATGCATCCATGTAGTTTCCATCAAGTCTCTTCTGGAAATAAATCACAACAAACTCATTAACACAGCAACTTGTGATTAAGCCACTCTTTTTAAACAGTGCTTAGACTACTTTGAAGCTAACAATATGCAATATAACAGTCATTGTTAATTCCTTAACATCTTTTTTTGAAATTCTATATCATTTTTAGGTTTTTTATTGTTTAAATTTTTTTTAAATTCTCTTTAAAATAAAAAAATAAAATAAAAATTAAAAAAGCAGTGCTTGGAATTAAACCTAGGATCTATCCATAGTAAGAATTCTACTTCTGAGCAACATCCAAAGCCACACCATCATTTTTGGGGGTACAGTTTTGGGGTTTTTTTCTGATTAGAAGAGTAATACATAACACAATGATAGGGGAAAGAAGGCAAAAGTGGTTTAAAAAAAAAAAGGTAAAAATCCCTCATAGCTAACAATCAAAAAGAACTAGTATTAATATTTCATTTCAATTTCTACCCTCTCAAACATTACATATTTATTGTATTTTTGTTAGTACTGTTTGCACCAAAAAACAAAATTTCTTTACACATACTGTTTTTCAAAATGCTTTTTTCAAGAAACAAGCATTAAACTTTATTAAATTCTGTGAGCAAACTTCTGACAAAACTGGCTTTATCCTACCTTTTAAAAATAATGTTATGTGAAGGGAAACTGCTTAAGATTGCTAAATACTTCTGGGCATGGTGGTGCAGGCCCATAATCCTAGTACTCAAGAAGGGTTAGGCAGGAGGACCACTGCAAGTTTGATGCTATCGTGGGCTGCACAAAGTGAGTATAAGGCAAGCTTAAACCGCACAGTGAAAGAGCCTCAAAAAAAAAAAAAAAAAAAAAAATTGCCAACTGCATATTTTGCAGGGTAATAATAAGCTTCTCTTCTGGAGGGTTAACAACCTAAGTTTGCAGATCAAAAATTGGAGAAAAGGAAGGGCTTCAAGGTCTACCAACACTTTCAAGGTCAGTGAAGACTGAGGAAATAGGAGAACCTGTACTGTAACATCATGTAACTCAGTTGTGCCCCAAATTTTCTGATCAAGATTATGGAGCCACAGAGGAATGTGACCGATGATGTATAGCGTGCCTAAGGAGAGTCACATGGAGAGAAAACTTTCTCTCAGGCTTTCACAGAGAGCAAATTGGTCAAGCAATGGCCGTGACTCATCCATATGGCTGACACTGACAAAGGATCTACAAAGTGCAGTACAGGGTTACAGGATAAATCCTGAGGGTACTTGACTGACCTTATCAGATAGAAAAGTTACATTTCTTGTTATATAGGTGTTGCTTTATCTTGGTCTTAACCATCCAGCAGAAAAGTATAAAAACTAGGTAAAGTAAAGACATATTAGTATGCTGAGCTGTAAAAGGCTCTAGTCAACAACTTCTGCGGATAACCTACTACGATTGTGGACTACTGGACTGTGTTGGATTGTTTTGCTGAATTCAAGCACCTATAATATTTAGATGCCAATAGAATACCTATCTCTGACAGGACTGAACTGGAGAGGGGGGATACAGAGAAAGGACTATTTTGTATTGGTATATACAGAATAGTCAGGATAGATGTACAGCTGCTTTTGCTTGGTTTAGTGAGAGGAAGGATTTGTAGTAGTAGTGTTTGGGATGTCCTGGCTGCTTCTTGTGCTATGGATGACCACTGAGAAGATAACAATGTGCAATGTATTAATTATGAAAATGTCATATTAATCAGCTTGGAAACTGTCTCATTAATATTTGTTTCTCAATAAAATTTTAAAAAATTGCTAAATACTAATGTAAGCATGATATATGTTATTCTAGTCAGCAAATACTAAATGCTAAGCACTGTTTAACATTCTACATATTAAAAGATAATTATAACCAAACTCTTAAAAATTAATGAACATCAAATAACGAAATGTAAAACTATGAGTATCAATTAAAATACCCAATTTCAGAGTAAGATGTTCATATAATATAGATACATAATGAAGATATTTTAAAAGCAGCCCATACTGTCCTCGTTTGGAGCAAACAGAAGAACACCAATTTGAAAAGACAAGTAAAATTAATGAAGGAGAACCAGATAAGAAAAACTGACTGATTCTTGTATTTCTGGGAAAATGATATTATAATTTTTTTTAGAGGAAAATATATGACTAGAAATTAATCTCAATTGGAGAGCTTGTCTTTTGGGGGGTCTTTCCCGCTGCTCTTTTGGCTGTTTTGAGGACACTGTGAGGAATGTGTTTTCATGTTAGAAGCTAGTATGTAAATGGCTGTCCGACGCTTAGTTTAATCAGTTCACATTTTTTAAATGGAAACTGTTATTCAGTGATAACAAGGCAACATAAAGGGAAAAATAAAATAAAAAGTTTCTATTGTAATACAGCACTACTTATTCTGAATGTTAGAATTTTTAACAGGAAAGATTTAAGCATTATCTTACCTTTTTAATAGGAGTTCAATAAAACTAAATGAAAAACCAAAAAAAAAAAAAAAATGAAGATATTTTAACCAATACTATGTATATTTACCTATGTTTTCACACTACACACTCCCTATATATTAAGGGATACTATGGAGGGATTAAAGGCTACTAAGAGGACCTTTAGGATAGGAGAGATAGCTCAGCAGTCTAAGCACCTTCCTGGCAAGCTCAAGGATCCAGGTTCTATCCCCAGTACCACATGCCCGTCAGCCCCAGGCACCAAGCTGGCCATCGAAACCAGGAGTGCATACCACCTGTAATCCCAGCACTGGGGAGGCTGGAAACAGGAGGACTACTATGAGTCCAAGCTGCATAGTGAGACCCTATATCAAATACATAAATAAAATTTTTTTTAAAAAAAGATTTTTTTAAAAAGAGGACCTTTAGAAGAGTAACGAAGTATTATCCTTGCTCTTATCCACTGTTACTGGATGATGACATAAAGATATGCTTTGTGAATTTGCAGATGATAGAAAGTGAGTTGTAAGCTATACCAACATAATTTGATTCTAAATTATTTGAAAAGACTACAACTTTAATATAAATAAATGTAAAATTCAACAATCAGGCTTCAAAATATAACTTGAAAGAAAGTAACCAAGGTAATAAAAGGACTGAAAACATGTCATTAAAGTTTAAAGTGTCCCTCAAAGACTCATGTACCAAGCGCATTAACCCCATCAACAGTTTAACCCATTGATAAGTTTACAGCTGAATGTGGCTTTAGGAAGTGGGACCTGGTTATAGGAGGTGGGTCACTGGGGGCATGGTCTAGAATGGTATAATCTTGTTCTCAGCTCCTTCTTCTGTCTCTTCCTTGCTATCTCTGCTTCCCAACTGCCATGCATTAAGCCTCTGTCATTTCCTTCCATGCTATTTCTGTCTTGGAGCCAGTCAACCATGGACTAAAATCTTTGAAACCCTGGACTGAATTCTTGGAAACCATGGGGCAACATAAGACTTTTCTCTAAGTTGTACATGACAGGTACTTTGTCCCAGCAACAGGAAAGTACTAATACATATATGTCAAGCAAGATTTAGTTGGAAATTAAATCATAGTAGTCTTTAGACTGAAGGGTTGCTAAGAAGAATATAATGAAGGAAGACTATAGCATAGTTTCTGTGCCATATAGACTACTAAAGATCAAAGTGTAAGGGTATTAGGGCCTACACTAAAGTACTACTAGAAATAGAGACATTATAATGTAAAAAAGATACTGGTATGTAAAAATCTAAGAGTTTTAAATTCAAATATTTAGAATGTCAATTTTATGGTAGGTGCTATGTTGGTGGAGAAAGAGGGGAAGACAAAAATGAAAATTTAGTTAATTCAGTTAAGATTAAACCTCTGCAAAATTTTAAGATCCATCACATATGATGGACCAATAAACACCTAAATTATAGTGTTGAGAGTTTATAAAGATTTATGAAGTTCAGCTGGATGTAGGTAAGTTAGTAAATAATAAAACTAGCCAAGGAAAAAAAGTATTGGGCTGGATTTTTTTTTTAAAAAATGTATTTAGTACAGGGTCTACAGGGTCTCACTACACAGAGCAGACATGTAGTGATCCTTCCTGTTTTTCCGCCTCCCAAGTGCTGAGATTATAGGCTCACGCCACCATGCCCAGTCTCAATCACTGTCTTAGCTTGCCCTGGGGGGAAGGAGGCAGCACAGCAGGCCAGGGATCGAAGCCCTAGCCCCTGAGTCTGCCTAAGCAGGCACTTTAATCTGCTGAGCTATCTGACGAGCCCTTGAGCTGAATTTGTAAGGGTTTCAAGATCAAACATACAACTTCATTTTTTTCAAGTAACTAACATAATTATAATGGAACACAAAGAACAAGAAATTGGGGCTAGGGCGATAGCTCAGCAATCTAAGCGCCTGCCTGGAAGGCGCAAGAACCCAGGTTTGATTCTTGGTATCACATGCTTTGCTAGCCCAGGAACACCAGGCGTGATAGGCCAGCCACCAAAATCAGGCGTGTTGGTGCACACCTGTAATCCCAGCACCAGGGAGGCTGAGACAGGAGGATCACTACGAGTCCAAACTGCACGGTGAGACCCTATAAGAAAGAGAGAAAAGGAGAGAGAGGAAGAGAGGGAGAGAGGAAAAGAGGGAAAGAGGGAGAAAGATAGAGAGGGAGAGTGGAAGAGGGAGACAGGGAGCAAAGACAGAACAAGGAAATGAAATGCTATTAATTTTAAACATAAAATAATTTTGGCCACACATGGTGGCCTATGTCTGTAACCCCAGCTACTTACGAGGCTGGGCCAAGAGAATTGCAGGTTTTAGAGTAGCCTAGACACTTTAGGAAGATCCTGTCTCAAGATAATATTCAAAAACTGCAGGAATGTAGCTCGGTGCTAGAATGTTTGCCTAGAATGTGCAAGGCCTGGAGGTTCAATATCTAGTTCTGCAAAAAAATTATAAAATAATTGTAAATACCAAAATCCAGTAAGACTATTAATAGGAATAGGAAAAAAAAATGGGTAGTGAAAAAGTAGAGGCAGCAGATTATTGAAACATCAGATGGTAAATGATAAATAGGTACAATTTTAATATGTTTGTTTTAAAAATAAAAACATTTAAATGGAAGAAAGGACTGTAAAAAGAAAAGATAAACTAGTACAGGGTAGTAAGTTCTAGTAATAGAATTCTGTCTGGTTTGTATTTAATATTAACTTGTTTGGAAGTATATGCAAATTCAGAAGAAGACAAAAGTCATGAATCCAACAGGATGTATACAACAATAATAATGAACCAGACAGCATCACCTACCCAAAAGTATTCACATTTAAAAAGATATTTTTAAGTTTATACCTGACATTTATACTTTACTTCCTGGAAGGCAGTATATACAGTAGTTAAAAGCTAAAGGCTTCTAATGTTATACTACCTAGGTTCAAACTCTTCTGTATCACTAATATTTGGACCTTTGAGAAACTTAACTGAATTCTAGTCCTCAATTAGTTCTTTTCTAAGACAGGAATAGTAACCATACATAACTCAAGGTATTACAAGGATTAAATAAGATAAATACATGTGAAGTACTTAGTTTTTCCCCTGAAAACTAAGAAACAATAATAATGTTAGCTGTTTTTATCAGTAGTATCCTCTGGGGTGAGGGGAAAGAGTTATGTATTAATACCTAAGAGTTATGTATTAATATGTATTAACATCAAATTGTAAAGTGAATTGATCTCTACTTGTGTATTTTCAAAGAGTTTGAAAACATTTCTCTTCCCAAAATGGTTATTACCATGTATTCTTTCACAGTGATTTTTTTTTAATCCAACAAACTTCCAATTGTGTGTTTGCTTCAAAGAAGGTATGAGTGCTTCCAAACAAAGAAGCGACTGACATTAACATTAGATTAACCAACAGGTAAAATTTGAATAAAAAAGTACGGCATCCATTAAGTATAACTGTACACTATGGTTAAATATCCATTAGAAACTATTTTCCAATTTCTAAATAAATCTCTCTTGTACTCTTGTTCACAATGATGAGTCAACAAAATTTACCAAGCATAGAACATCATACTAAATTTTGTTTAAAAAAAAAAAAAAAAAAAAAAAACCTTAATCATCTTCCATTCTCTCCTTTTTACCTTGTAAGAGGTTGTGGAGGTTCAGATAGAGACATGTCACTACTGGAAGATGCACTTGGGGGACGTTCCTGTATTTTGTTTTCCTTATCAGATTCTCCAGATGGCTGATACCCTGATCTGGCCTAGAAAAAAAGTATATAAAATTTATCTGATAGCTATCATGAAGATATTTAGAAAACACATAAAATAAGTCACTTTAGCTTCATAAAGACCAGACACAGAGGACTTTTTCTCCTCAGATAATACCAGTTCACGTGGAATTTGTGTTAAAAGTCATTGTTTGTTTGCATTTAGTACAGATTCTACAGGGTCTACAGGGTCTTACTATGTAGATTGGATTTACAGTGATTCTCCTGTTTCCAGCCTCCCAAGCACTGAGATTACAAGTGCGCACCACCACACCCAGTCTCAATCCTCTCAACTGCCATCTCAGTGTGCCCCCCAGGGGTGGGGCCAGCACAGGCAAGCCAGGGATCAAACCCCAGCCTCTGAGCTCTGCCTAACCAGGCTTTTTAGTCCACTGAGCTATCTGGCCAGCCCCATTGCTATTTTATTTTTTAACAATTATTGTAATTAATAACAAAACATCATCTAAAATCTGATAAGCCATTTTATTCTAACCATATAATTAGAAAAGAATATCCTTTATAAGCGGTTTGTTTCACCTGATTAAAACCTACCTTCTCAGGGTTGTGAGGATTTATTAAAGCTTAAGCCTATAAGTAAAAGCTTTTAAAACAATATGTGGTACATACTGAATTTTTAAACATCATCAGGATAAACCAGGATATTCCCTAACCAGCAAAGATCACAAAAATATCTTATTACCATAATCTAATTATATATTATGTACTGAGTATGTCCTCAGTGGTACAATGAAAACTAGATAGGATTATAACTTATGGCAATGACAAGAGGAAAAGAGATTAGTAGCAATGTTGGCCAGCCCTTACTTTCTATCATATTTTTCATATTATTCTTCATATAAAATAAACTTCATAAAAAGCCATGACCATTATAAACATCACTTGAGTATATGCCTATTAGAATCATTGCACAATTTAAAAATACTATTGTATAAGAAATAAGCTGTTCCTAACCATGAATCATACCCTTTTGATTTCTGCTATTACTATTACCTGTATTTCCTGTGTAACATGTTGATGAGCTGGCTCTTCAAGCAAGGTCTTTTCTAGTATCAATTTGGAGTAAGTTTCCTGTAGTCGCCTAGCTGCTGATGGATCCGAAGGAGGTACATTTTTTGCTTTAGTAAAGGCTTCTTTCTGCTTCCGGTAAAGCTCTTGTAATCGTTTGTTCTTCTGTTCAGTAGCCTCCTTTTGAGCTTTCTTCTCCTCATTTTGCTTCCTCTTTCTTTCCTCCTGCTGTCTAACAATATACTGCCGTACCTCATCAGTATCATAGTGGCGCTTTTTGGAAATGATAGGGGGATCTTCATTAGCTGTTATTTTATCAGGTTTTCTTTTCACTGGGCTATGACTCCGAGGAGCTTGTATAGGTGCTAATGATTTCTGATTCTCTAACTCTCCCGTCTCTTGCCTTGGGATTGGCACTGCAGAATCCAGCTGTAGGTCATCAAGAATACCACGAATTTCAACAGGTAGAAAGTCCTTATTTAAGGCAGTATTTTCCTCCTGCTTATTATCTGAAAGAGCTGGAGTTAATTTCTTTATATTATTTTCGGACCGAGCTCGACTTCTTGAATGCTCTGAGGCTCGGGGGACATGTCTATGTGAAGCATCCAACCTGGGATCAGATTCTGCTCTTCCAATATGAGCCCCTGAAAAGTATGAATTGTTAGTGATATATAAAAATTCTGGATTTGTCTCTTAGGATTTATTGGACTAAGAAGATAATCAGATAATTTCACTTTATCTCAAGCTTAAATTCAAACATCTTAAAGGCTTCTAAAGAGTGCTTTAAAAAGCATTGAGATTGCATTTTTTTAAATGTATCTCAGGCCAGCAAGGTAGCTCAGTGGATGACTAAGTGCCTGCTTAGACAAACTCAGGGACCAGGGTTCGATCCCTAGCACCACATACTATGCTGGCCCCACTCCCAGGTGCGCTGAGCTAGTCGCTGAGACTGGGCACAGTGGCACGCCCCTGTAATCCCAGCACTGGGGAGGCTGAAAACAGGAAGATCACTAGGAGTCCAGGCTGCGTAGTGAGACCCTGTACCAGGTACATAAGATAAATAAATAAATAATCTCATATGCACATTTATTGCTACTATTTCTTCCTCTTAAAAAAAAAAGTAACTTTTTAAGTAAAAGACATTTTGATTAGTGTCAAAGAAACAGAAAATACCTAAAGAATCTTAGAAAGAAATGCTTTTAAAAAGCTTTGCAAAAATCAGACATCACTTGCCAATCCAAATAACAAAGGCACTGAAAATACTGACCTTTCTAAAAATTCTACATTAATTCTTTCCAGAATTACATGAAATGGCAGCATATTTAGATGAATTTATCAGAGAATTTCTGAAAGCTTAATTTACATTCCTGGTGGCAGAAAAAAGATTACAATTGGCCTTACATGATCACATTCATGTTTTAATAACATGTGAAACAAATCTTCAAATATTTTGTATCTGGGATATCATTTCACCAAACTACCCTAGCTGGCTGGAACTTGAAAACCTCACATCTCAGCCCTCAGTATAGATGGAGTTACAGGTACAGATTACCATACTTTAGCTCAAATGCTAAAGTCTTCTTTAAAAGGCTACTTTGTGTACAGTATTTTGCCTCACTTCAGAGAAAAAGGACAAATTTCAGTGAAAGGCACATGATATACACGTCATCTTCTATTACAATGCCTCATCCAAGTGATTAAAATGAAGTCCTAGAAATTAGACACTGCCTTCTCCACAGTGGGGACTCAGTAAATATTTGTTAAACAAATGTTAAGTCTCCACAATTCTCCAAAGAACAACAGAATAATTTAAATGGTATATATAGAAAAATGACCATTTTATTATATAAATATTTATTAATATGACAATTTTAAACGGTGAATGCACTTGAGTTTGTTAGAAAGATAGATGAAAGTGAATAGGAACAAATATAAAATATATATTGACTTCTATATAACAAATTATAGTTGTGATTGTACCTCTTTTAATAAACTCATTCTCGGAACTCAAATTAAATGAGGCAAATTTTGCCGTTAGAAAAGAAAGCTAGCCTATAGGCATTTGTATTTCAGTTCTTAGAATTAGCCTATAATGAAATGCTAACTTTCTGGTTATTTCAAATAGCATTCTAGATACTTAAAATGTAAGAAGCAGCGGATATGAGAATAAAACCTAGGAGTTCAGTCAAATTTTGTCATTCTCTGACTACATGACCATGAGAAAAATCTCTTCTTTTTCAGAGTCTCTTTCTTCATCTTTTACCCTAACCCCCCAAAAATATAGTCCAACCTTGTGTATATTTCTCTGTGTTTCCTTGTATATGCTGGGATTAGGTACAGTAGACAAGACTCTCCTAAGGTTCCTAAGTCTACCATGGTTTGATTACAACAACGCGTTGCTATCCACCATAGTTAAATGTAGTTAATATGATTTATCTTACACAGAATTCTTAGTAAAGATACTGTAACATGCAAAGATGACCTAGCTAAGCCCACAGAATATCTCCCTTTCTGAGCTACAGCATGCTCAAGAGTACATTATTTTCCTGGATGGCTTGACAACAGCCACTCACCAAATCTAGGATTTCTCTCTCCTCTGTTTCTGTCACTTGATGCTGGTCTTCGCTCTCTCTGTTCTGCTCTGGGAGCAGGTCCCAGAATCTTCTTTACTAGTTTTTGTCCATCCCGCCAAGAAGATGTACTAATCAGACGAGTACTGCCTAAAACACATACATACTGCATTGAATTTAAAACTTAAAATTTAGCTCTAAAAATTGTATCTATGGGGGCTGGTGAGATGGCTCAGTGGTCTGGGGCACCTACTTAGAACAAGCTCAGCAAAGCACAGGGACCGCGGTTCAATCCCCCGGCGCCACATGCCAGCCAGCCCCGCCCCCTGGTGAGCTGAGCTGGCCACACACACACACACACACACATAAATAAATAAATAAAAATTTAAAAAATAAAAATAAAAATTGTATCTATTTAACCATGCAGATTTTATAACCAATCTTACGTTTATCTTCTGCTAAAGTCAAAAGCTTTACATTATTATTGTATTTTTGTCTCTAAAACACAAAAACCTGTTAACTGTTCATATCTTTATACTTCTCAAATAAATATAAATGCTTTGAAAGTTAAATACCAAATCATAATTCTTGAAACTTCAACTACCCGAGCACTGACTACAACATTATTTAGCATAGAACAAAACATATCTTAATGGTAAGTCTGGTTGATAAATATGCAGCACAATATACAAAACATGATAAAATGTACTTTTGCTAAAAGTGAATTAATTCAAGCAAAGTAAAAATATTTTGAAACATACTTAACAGTGATCATAACGTATTTCATAGATATATACCACTTTTCCATATACAACATTATAAAAGCAAAGTCATCAACATTTCAAATTGCTCTCATTAAGACAATAAATTCCTCTCATTATATAAATTCAAAAAAAAAAAGTCTGCTTCAATAAATATAGCTGTTTCTAAGGAGAAAAAATGTTTTCATTTACTAGTTTTAGACTATAAAACTAAAATTAGATGTATCTCAAAGTACACAGTAACCTAAAAAGAGTAAGACTCTTTACAAAATAGAAACAATAAAAAAACATATAAAGTGTTCATGCAATGTAATACAAAAAATGAAATGACAATGAAGTAATACTTCATAAAACTGAAATGGTCCTTCACACCTGTATTTCTAGTACTGTTGAAGGCTGACGTAAGAGGATCATAAATTCAAGTTCTGCTTAGGCAATTTAGCCAGACCTTGTCTCAAAATGAAAACTGCAGAAGATGCAGCTCACTTCAAATGCCCTAAAGACAATCCCACTACTACAATCACTAAGTGAATTAATAAGTTAATTAATGGGATTAAATAAAAATAATTAAAGTTTGTTTGTTTATTGAGACAGGGTCTCACTATGCAGTTCAGGGTAGCCTTGAACCCACTAAGTAGCCCAAGTTGGCCTTGAGCTGGTGGCAGTCCTCCAGCCACAGCCTCCTGGACGCTAGGATTATAAACATGTGCCATTATGCCAGGCTATAATTTTTATATTAATAGCCAATGCTGGTAAAATTATAATAAAAGTACTACCTATTACTCATTGAAATGTGAGTCTAATTTATTTTCACAAACTATAATATGTGCCAGAAACCCTAGGGCTCATTTCTCTTGATTAATAATAAAATCAGCAAATATTTATAAATTCAAAACCGCAAATGTAGACATTAACTGCGCTTTTATATTAGAAGAAAAATAGTAAATATTCATTTTTATTAAATAAAAATTTAATAAAAATAAAATTTGACAAAAAGTATTTACTATTCTTCTTCTAGCCACAGTATAGTATGGTCATTAAAAATAATCTTACAAGGAAAAACAAAAATATTTTTTGAAAAGATGTAAAGAGAAAACGGTAAAAATTTATATATTCAAAAGTTTAGGTATACAATGATCACAATCATATTAATATAATTTTAAAGGTTACTTTAAGAAAATACATAAAATACTAGTAATCTGTTAGAGTAACTATATCTCTATTTTTAAAATCTGTGACATTATTTTATTGTATTTATACCTTACAGATATTCCACTTAAGAGTGTCTTTAAAACGGTCTTAAGCTTAGAAGGAAGTATGGATTTAATTAAACTACCACTGACACTGACAAAGGATCTACAATCTGAGGTACAGGGTCTCAGGATAAAGCCTGAGGGGATTTGACTGACCTTATCAGATCTAAAAGCTATTCTTGTTACATAGGTCTTGCTTTATCTTGATTTTAACCATCCAGCAGAAAAGTATAAAAATGAAGTATAAGAAATAAAGCCATGTTGTTATGTTGAGCTGTAGGGGACTCAGGTCAACAACTTCTGACATTGCCAGGCAAGTGGAAGACTCAATACTATTATGGACTACTGGACTATTTTGGATATTTTGCTGAATTCACACACCTATAATATTTAAATGATGGAACTAAACAAAAAAGGGGGATATAGATGAATGTCCATTTTGTATCTGTGTACTCAAAATGGTTAGAATAGATATATAGCTACATTCTCTTAATTCAAGGAATAGAGGGATTTGTTCTAATGGTATTTGTAAATAGAATATCATTTCTGCATCCTGTACAACAAACAACCACTAGGAAGGCAGTATGCAATGTGTTAATTATTGGAACTGTCCTACCAATTTCATTTGAAACTGTCTCATTGCTATTTATTTTTCAATAAAATTATGGGAAAAAGATAAAAAATAATAATTAAACTACCAATAATAAATATGTAAATTAAATGTTTTTGTACTTGTTAGTAACCTAAAATAGTTAAAGTATTTTAAGTCTATTGCTCCATCTATTTACAGTATTTTTTAAGGAAAATAAGAAAAGACTTTACTTTCAGCTTAATTTTCTTTTCTTTTTTTTTTTCTTTGCGTAACTGGGGATTGAACTCAGGCCCTTGTGCTTGCCAGGCAAGCGCTTATTCTACTGAGCCATCTCCTCGGCCCCTACAGCTTAATTTTCTTAGTCAAAAACAAAAAAAAACAAACATGAATACATATTTATAAATGCTGACTTCTGAATATGATGGGTGGCTATTTCCAAACTCTGGCTTTCTGAAAGTGTCATGCAGTCATTGGGGGGAAAAATCTTACTAGATAAACTACTAATATAATTTTAGAATATTAAATGATATCTAAGTCAGTGGTAGCGAGCCTATGGCATACGTGTGGCAGCAGATTGCTATCTCTGAAAGCTCTAAAAGGTTCACCATCACTGAGCTAGGTCATCCACAGTGCACAAATGGGAATTAGCCTGCCAGAAAAATGGATAAATACAATCCAATGTTAGTGCTCCAAGTTATGGTGCACCTTGTGCTTCTTATCATACCATACCCTTGGCAACATTATTACATAATGTTACACAAAAATATTCATTTGAAATATAAGAATTATTTAACACTAACATCATTCATGTTCCTATAAAATCTTATTTGTTATTTATGTAAAACCTGTGTCTTTTTCTTTTTTTTTTCTTCTTTTTGAGACAAAATCTCACTATGTAGTTTAGGCTGGCCTGGACTCACTATGTAATCTAGACTGGCCTCAAACTCACAGCAATCCCCTGCCTCAGCCTCCCAAGCCCTGGGATTATAGGCGTGCACCACCACACTCAGCTTAAAAACTAGTGTCATTCATTTACTACACCTAAGGTTAATGAGTATCACCAAATATTATTTGTCCATCTGTCGATTAATCTATGACCATCAACGGCCTCTCATTCTTGTTCTCTGTTCACCGAAGACCATGTCTTCTTTTATCGAAGCATTCCTATCACACTTGCTTGTAGCTAAATATCTACTCCATGAAACCATAAGCTAAATGAGTCTGGCTCAGCACTGTACTGTCTAAACCTGGTGTAGAGAATAGTGCCTCATATATAGCAAGTGCTCATTTGAATATTGAATGAACATACCAAAGCAGAATATTGGCAACACCTGGAAAATAGCAATTTGACAAAGGAAAATGGAAGAAAGCTCTAGGAATTAAGCCAGCCAAAAGAAAAACTTGAAATTGGAAATACTAAAGTCAACACAGAAAAGAAGGAAGCAGTTTGGAATGCTAATCTTGGCTCTTCGGGAGGGCTACCTGTCTCTATAACCATAAAGTAAGCCTGTCTTACTCCTGAAAGAATGGCCATCATCAAGAAATCAAGCAATAACAAATGCTGGCAAGACTGCAGGGGAAAAAAAATACCCTCTTCATTGTTGATGGGAATGTAAACTAATAAAACCACTATGGAAATCACTATGGCAATTTCTCAAAAACTAAAAATAGAAATTCCACTGACCCAATTATTCCCTTTCTAAAGTATCTTCCCAAAAGATTCAGACATATACCAATGACACATACATACCCATGTTTACAGCAACACAACTCAAAACAGCTAAATATTGGAAATGGCCTATATGTCCATCAACACATAGTTAAATAAAATGTGGTATGTATACCTAACGGAGTACTATCCTGCCATAAAGAATAAATCTGAGTCATTTGTAGGAAAGTGAATGTATCTGACTATAATGTTTTTGAAGTAAACACACAAGTTTATATAACACACGGTCTCTCCTATATGAGAGACCCAGAGTATAAATAATTTAAAGAAAAAATAAAAGGTAGATAACGGGAAACAAGCAAATAGATCTTTTGCAAAATGGAAGCGGACCAATGAAGGAGAAGAGGAAGTATAAAGAATTAGGATGCATTACACATAAGTACTAATTACCCACGATGACTATAACCACTATGTAGTGAAAATATGTACTAATAAAAAAAATTATTTTTAAAAGTTTAGAACACCTACAAACTCAACATGGTAAGTACTAAACTTTCTCTATTTTTTAATATGAATATGCCATACTAAACAAACATTTTCAGGACAGCTAGAAGTAGTGGTACTATTATTGGTATATAACTAAGATTTGAGTGCTTATCATGTGCCAGCTACTATATTGAGTGCTTTTACGTATTAACCTTTAGTTCTTATAACAACCCTACAAAATAAATACTAAAATGGGAATTTTACATACAGGGAAACTAAGGTACACTAAAACTAACTCATTTGCCAAAGGAATAAAGCTAGCTATAAATCTAGCCAATCTAAACCACTAGAGAACCATAAAATTCTTAGTGTAGCTTGATCTATTCTCTGTCCAACCTGATCACTACTGGCAAGAACTGACAAAATTCTGATATGCAACATTTATTCTCAAGGAACTCGATGATAGTTATATAAAATGAATGAAAATCTCCTTTATATAAAATATATATGTACTTTATATAAAAGTACTTTAAGCTGGCTAATTTCTATTAAAAATAATAGAAAAAACTGGGAGTGACAGATGTATTCAGTATCTAGAACAAATGATGAACAAATGGTTTCATGGATGCATACATACATGAGACTTTCCAATGATATATTCCATGTATGTAGTTTATTCTGTATCAATTATGCCTCAATACAATACACACATAATAATGATGCATATAATGGACTATACTTTTATATATGACAAGCAATAACAACATTTGGTAATAAATATTCTCATCTATATTGATTTCATGCCAGTAATAAGCAACTTTAGGATGAACACAATGTTGAAAACTAACCTGTTTTGCATTCTGGACTTGATAACTGTGCTGCCTTTTGGACTTTTCGCACTGGCTTCACCACTTTTTTCTCTTTATTTTTTTCAGCAGGTTTCTCTTTTACAGAGATATCATCTGAAAAGCAGAAACACTTACAGCAATTATTATGATTCCTACCCACCTATTCATCCTATCCCAGTGAAAAATCAGTACAGTAATCTCCCATTCTTTATGTCATTTTCTGTGGTTTCAGTTACTGAAGGTCCATTGCATTCTGTTAATATTAAATAAAAAATCTCAGTAATATACAATTCAAAAGTTTAAGTTGTACATCATTTTGAGCATGATGAATCTTCCTTCATCTAGTTCCATCCAGTCCAGTGCAGGCCACCCCTTTGTCCAGCACATCCTCACTGCATATGCTACCCACTCACTCATTAGTTGCCCATTAGTCATTCAGTCATTCAGTAGTTCTCTTGGTTATAAGCCCAGTTGTGACTGTTGTATCACACAGCTTCTGTTCGTGTAAACCTTATTTTACTTAGTAATGACCCCAAAGCTCAAAAATGCTGCTCCAATTTGTATATGCAAAGAAAAACTACAAAGTATTTCAAATGAAGTGAAAAGGTAAAAGCTATTAACTTAATAAGGAAAAAAATTGTATTGAGTTTGCTGAATCAATGGTAAATTACTATTAATCTTTTAGTGTAAGTATGTATAAGAAAAATCAAAGTATTGGGATCACGGAGATGACTCAGTAGAATAAGTGCTTCCCTGGCAAGTGCAAGGGCCTGAGTTCAATCCCCAATTCCGACAAAAAAAAAAAAAAACAAAGTATAAATTGTATTCCATTCTATTTGCAGATCCAGACATCTTTGGGGAGGGAGTTGAAATACATCATCAGTGGCCAAGGAAGGGAATACTGTATAAAGCCCATGACTCAGGTGGGGCAAAAGAAATTTTCACTGAGGCTATTTCTATGATCCACAAGCCACCAATGTCAACTTCTCCCATGAAAAAAAGACCTGAAGATTATCATTACTCAACTGCTAGGTTCCAATTCTTTAGTTTTCTCTTTTCTTCAGAAAATCCTTAAGAAATTTATCTCATTTTCACAAATGGAAAAAAAAAGCTACAATAGTAATAATTTCAATGCCAAGATCACTATATGTATCATATTTCAGAAGTGAGCACTTTCATAAATTCATTTAAAAGTTTCTACATAAAAAAATTTACAGGGCTGGGGAGATAACTCGGTGGTCTAAGTGCCTGCCTGGCAAGAGCAAGGACCCAGGTGCAATCCCCAGTACCACATGCCACACCAGCCCTGAACCCTGGGTATACCCTGCCAGCCACCGAAACTGGGAGCACACCTGTAATCCCAGCTCTGCATAGGCTGAGACAGGAGGACACTATGAGTCTGAGCTGTGTAACAGGACCCTGTACCAAATAAACAAAAAGATTTTTTTAAAAAAATGCTTTGATGGGGCCGGGGAGATGGCTCAGTGGAATAAGTGCTTCCCTGGCAAGCACAAGGGCCTGAGTTCAATGCCCGGTTCTGCCAAAAAAAAAAAAAAAAATGCTTTGAGATCAATCATATATCATACATATAAGTTTCAAGGGGGTTTTGTTGTTTTTAGCAGTACTGGGTATAGAAGCCAAAAAGTCAGGGCTCCACATTGAGTGATATCCCCAACCCCTATGTATTTTGATATAAAGTTCACTAAGTTGCTAAACTGCCCAACCTGGGCTTGAATTGTGATTCTCCTGCCTCAAGGTTCCCAGAGGGAGGGAATTACAGGCCTCAAAATGTCATTGATAGAATCCCTCTGGGAACTTATTACCCACACTTCAGGCTTTAAAGTCAGATAAACTTGGTTTTGAATATTGATTTCACTTGTTAATTCTGTGCAACCCTGGGAAATCACTCTTTGAGATTCCATGTCCTCAACTGTAAAATTTACAAAATTAAGTACCCAGTATCATATCCAACATCGTACTCCTATTTCAAATTCTGTAACTTTATCTCTTCCCTATAAAAGCTTACTCTTCTTTCTGTGTCTGGTGATTGGCAAATTACCAGTTCAAAGACTTCAAAGGCCTAGCAGAAATAATCTTTAGCTAGACTCTTATGTTTCCTTTAACTCAGGCAGTTCTGACTCCAAAAGTCCCTTAGTTTAAAATAGCCTGCCTGGTTTATGCCTCATTGGCCAGGTAGGCTAATTTTAATCCTGGGGTAGAGCCTAGAGGCTAAAAACTTAGAAAAACTAAGGCCATTACTATTTTAGTATACAACACAGTCACAAAGGGAAAATGTTTAGTTTGGAGATAATTTCATATTTATTTTATACGTAAATGTTAATTTATTAATATTATCAATTAGATGGAATGCATGACAAGACATTCAAAACATGTAAAAGCTCTACTCTTACCTGCAAAATGAAGTGCCAAGTCTCGGTACAGTTCTCTACTCATAGTCTGAAACTCTGCCTCTTGCCACACTTTTCCATCAGGTGTTCGAATCTTGGTCTCTGAAGGGTTGAAACCTAGTACATATCAACAATATAGACTATTCATATTAAAGTTGCTTTATGTTTTATTTTACCTCTTTTTTTGTGTGTGTGTGTGTGTGTTACACACTGGGGGTGGGACCCATGGCCTTTATGTTGAGCTATGTCTCCTGCAGGTTTGTTTTGTTTTGTTTTGAATTTAAAAGTTTTGCTAAATTGTCTGGGCTAGGCTTTAACTTGAAGTCCATCTGCCTCCCACATGATGGGACTACAGGCATGTGCCATCATGCCCAGATGTGTATTTTTAAGTGAGATAATTTATATACTATAAATTTCACCTTTTTAAAAGTGTGCAACACACCAGATTTTAGTATAGTTACAAAGCTATCCAACTATCATCATTATCTAACTCCAGAGTATTTCACCGCAGTGAAAAGAAACCCTGTAAGTATTAAGAGTCACTCCCCACAAGACTTACTCCATTCCTGACAACTACTAACCTTCTATCTCTATAGAAGATTCTAGACATTTCACATAAATGGAAATGCACAATATGTGCTCTTTTGTGTACTACTTATTTCACATAGTATGCTTTTCAGGTTGAGTCATCATGTAACACGTATCATGACTTCATTTCTTTTTAGTAACAAGTGATATTTCATTGTATAGATGTAACATTTTGTTTCTCCACTCATCCTTAGATGGATGCCTGGGTAGTTTTTACTTTGGGGCTATTATTAACAATGCTATTGGGCCGGCCATATAGCTCAGTGGATTAAAGTGCCTGCAAGCAGGCGCTGGGGCTAGGGGCTCAATTCCTGGGCCCTCCGTGCGAGCCCTGCCCCCAGGGCACACTGAGATGCCAATTGAGACTGGGCATGGTTGTGCAAGCCTGTAATCCCAGCTCTTGGGAGGCTGTAAGCAGGCAGATCACTACGAGTCTGATCTAGTCATGAGACGCTGAACACCCTGTAGACCCTTCTCTAAAATTTAAAAAAAAAATGCTGTTATGAACATTCTTGTACAAGTTTTTGTGTGCATATATTTTCAATTCCCTAGAATATTATGTATAGAAATTAAATGCTGAGTCATCATAACTTTATGAAAAACTTAAATTTTTAATAAAGCAACAGTATCATTTAAAATTATCACCTACAATAGTTCTAATTTCTCAATATTTACTATCGTCCTTTTTACGAGAGCCACTTTAATAGACATACAGTAGAATTTCACTGTAGTTTTGACTTGTATTTCCCTGATAATTAATGATACTGAGCAATTTCAAGCTTCTAAAAGAATGCATAAATACCACATGTTTTGACAAACACTATTTAGAAAAAGCATCAGTAACATAAACAATGTATACATCTGTTCAAAGAATAAGACTAGAAGTGGAGAAGCCCTAAGTTAAATGATTAAAAAAAATGTTGATCATAAATTATAGATTCCAGAAACAAACTAACCTTCTCAGAAATAACAGAAAGACAACATTACCCATTCTTCCTGTCTTGAAAGACAGACATTAGTTGCTACCCTTGTCTGTTTAGATTTTATCTTAAGACAGGGTTTCACCAAATGCCCTTAAAAAATTTTTCATGTTTCTACCTATAGCTAAAAATTAAAAATAGAAAAAAAAATGGATTAAGTTGTATTTCATATAGGCAAAATTTGCCCAAAGTGTGAAAAATATTTAAAATTTCATGTTTGGAGCTAGAGTTGTAGCTCAGTGGTACAGCACTTATCTAGCATGTACAAGGCCCTAGATGTAATACCCAGCACCATAAAAACAAAACAAAAATGTTTACTTTTTCAAGAAACATTACACATATGCTATTTTCTTTCTTGGAGATTTATGTATTTATTTGGTACAAGGTCTTACTATGCAACTTGAACTCACAGTGATCCTCTTGTCTCAGCCTCCCCAGTGCTGGGATTATAGGCATGCACCACCAGGCAGTTTCAGTGGCCGGTGTGGTGCAATTGGGGTTCCGGGGCCAGCACAGTATGCTGCACCAGAGAATGAACCTGCATCTTGTGCTTGCCGAGTAGGTGCTTAGACCACTGAGTTATCTCCCTGGCCTGCACATTTGCTATTTTCAAATAGCAAATAGGAATACTATTCTGATTTTCCACTTCACATTTATTACTATTTAAGAAATGTAGGGGCCAGGGAGATAGCTCAGTGGAATAAGTGCTTGCCTGGCAAGTGCAAGGTCCTGAATTTGATTCCTGGTACCATTGGAAAAAAAAAAAGAAAATGAAAATGAAAATTGAAAAAGAAATTTAATTAATTTTTAAGTGCTATTTTACAAATAAAATATAGATGATATATATCATAATATATATAATATATATTATAATATCCTTATATATAATATGCTTATATTACATGTTATATTATATATTTGGTGTAATATAAGTATTTATATTTTAAGATGGGCTCAGCATATAAAAAAATGCATAAACAACATTTGTAGAATTAAATCAACATAAAAAAACAGGCTGAAATCCAAGACTGGTAAAAGCCTTTTACAGGTATCAGATAAAATATATTAGAGGTTTAATATACTACCCTTATACAAAATGTTTGGAAACAAAAGTGTCTTAGACCTTAGATTTTTTTGGATTTGGTAGTATTTATTTGTATATAGTATGATGTTTTAGTAAAAGGCAAAAGATTTATACGATCTGAAGAGAAACCAGAGTATAGTATGATGTTTTAGAAATGCAATTCAAATCTAAACATGAAATTCATTTGCTTCATATGCTCTATACATAATGCTTAAATATATATAGACTGAAGTTATTTTATATGACAGCCTTAAAAATTTTGTACATGAAAAAAGTTTGCAGACTGGCTGTGGTGGTGCACACCTGTAATCCCAGCACTTGGGAGGCTGAGGCAGGAGGGTCATGGGGAGTTCAAGACCAGCCTAAACTGCATAACGAGACCGTGTCTCAAAAACAAAGTTTGTATACACTGGAACCATCAGAAAGCAAAGATGATGGCATTTCATGAAAAATCTTAGGTTGTTTAGTATCACCATCCTCAATGACTCTGAATTTATATGTTACTGATGAACCATCATATTTTTGTAGATATTTCCACATGAGTACTTAATAAAAAAAATCCATCATAATGCATGTACAGGTAATCTCTATTTGGGATTGTGAATCAAGAGATTCAGAGTTCTTGAATGAAGGCCAGTCTAGGCAATTCATAAAATTTCTCAAAACAAAATTTTAACAAGAGCCAAGATTGTAGCTCTGTACTCTCTGGGCTCAAAAAAAAAAAATCTGGCATGTCACTAATACTATGAGACAATGTGTACTGGGTAATTAAGCAACATTGAAATATAATTTGAATCCATCTATCAACTGTTAAACAATAACAACAGCTTTTAGTCTATTTAGGATTTTTTATTTTATTATTATTTTGTGTGTGTGTGTGTGTATGTGTGTGAGAGAGAAAAAAAGAGACAGAGACAGAGACAGAGACAGAGACAGAGACAGAGAGAGAGGGAGAGAGACAGAGAGAGAGACAGAGAGAGAGAGAGAGAAATATCAGGAGCACTTTAGAAACCAGGAAGTAGATCCTCTAGGAATGAAGACACATTCACATAGGTGGCTTTTAAAAATTGTTTTCTAGCTGGGCATAATGATGCATGCTTTGTATAAGCATGCAGGAGAAGTGATGTGAGT